GTAGTTTAGCAGAGAGAATCACTCCCGTTATCCCCTCTAGCTTCAAATTCATCTTTTGTCATTGTTGATTGAGAGCCCCCTTGGTGGGGCGAACTTCTGCTTTGGCTTTTATTTCAACACTGTCAGCCGATGCTTGATGCTTCATTACAATAGTACTTTTTTTTTTGCAACGAGCACAGTCTCCCCCTGTTGGCAGATAGAATCAATGCAAGTGAAAAGCACTTCTTGTTCTCACTTTTTTATACGTAGAGGAACACCAACTACTCATTAAGAGTTTTTGGTTTTCACTCGTGGTTTTGATGTGTGCCATGACTCAAAGGAGAAGTCATTGGGTTTCTTTGTTATCTGTCTGGTGGGCTTCACTTAATGATAGGTAGAGAGTAGACACATGAGTCATGTTGAAAAGCTCCAGACGCCATGTTTTTTAACCAGAAGAGGAAACCGTCTGCCCTCGGAGCTGACTAGTGGAAAATCCAGATCAAGCATTTACCATCAGAAGGGAGCATGCCTTTTAAGCGTTTTCACGATTAAACCATGCTTTTACGGCATCTGTGGAAAAGTGTGGGCCCTGCAATGAATTAGCTGAGAGGAGGGGAAAAAGTAAACCTCCCTCTTCTCCTCCTCCTCCTCAAGGCTTGTGGTGGGGTTTTTTTTAACACCGCTCTTGAAAACCACACTTCTCTTCCAGTAAATCTCAAACTCCCAACATGAAATCTCTCAAAACCAAACAGAAAAATCGCCTTCCATGGCAGACATCCTCGGTTTGATTTATTAAGTCTCTGCAAAGAGAGGGACTCATGTTAAACAGTTTAACTCCTGTAAAGATAAAACCAAACTAAATAGGATGCCATAAGGAAACTATGTTTGAGGCAAAAAGAACAATATGAAGACATATTTAATTAGTAACAGATTTAGTGGAACATTTTGTACTGTGATTTAGAAAAAAAGGTTTTAAAAGAAAAGTAGGTTGCTTTCCAATAAATGAAGATTCATGACATGAGTTCATCGAAACGATTCACCACAAATGAAGAGAGATGAATTGTGGAGTTCCATGAGGGGCTGTCTTTCATTTTGAAGGACCACAGCTGAGACAGTGGGATGTTTCTGGCTATTAGAAGGCAGGAAGTGTGTTTTAATGCTGTTTAATTGAATCGCCTGACAGAACAAGAGCGACTGAGAAAGTTTTGTCTACCTATTTTTATTTCTTTTTATGAGAAAAAATGAAACAAAAAACATAAAAGTGTTAGAAAAAGAAATAACACAAACCACATTAAGAATAGAAGATCATGTATGTCCTCCATGCCATTGTCTGTTATTACCAAAACATCACATGTCTGTACTTTGGAGATCAGAGGCAAGAACCTAAAGAGAGTCTGATTACATGGTGCATCTGAACAGCTTCCAGGTCAAGTCCTTTAGCTCCAGGTATTTTAGAGGTAATGTCTTGTTATGGCATGTTTTAATGAAATGTAATTCATCACCCACATCCTCAATCTACCTACACATTAACCGTCTTAGATTTGAACCTTTTTGTCCTAAAAAACAATGTCAAGTTCATCAGCTTTTAAACAGGCTTTGATTACAAGACTAGTAGTTTAATTTGTAGCTCAGGTGAGTTTAGTGTTGTTGTTTTTTCACAAAAGGGGGAACCAAAGTTTCCAAATTCCCATTGGTGCTAACTTAAGTAAAGGTTGTGATGTTGGTTACTGTCGTTGCTGATCTTTACAGCAGCTTCCCTGAGAGCATATTTTCTTAAAGTGTAAGTCTTAAAAGGCAAGACGAGATGTTGATGCAATTATTTGACTCAAGTTCTTGTCCTCTGGCACACGGTCACTATTCTTTTATAAAGAGTACTGCTCTCATAACTCTGATATTAGCTATATTATTAGCGAGGGGTTTCACACCCACTGTGTTAAAGTTGGCACCCAGAACTTATCAGGATTTAACTTGCACAATACTGTAAAGGTGAGCCATGGGCTAGGGGAGTGTTTCTCTCCTTCATGAATATTCATGACCCACATTTCTGATATTTTCAATGAAATATATTTATTTAATGGAAAACTGTAGAGTATGGACTTCAGACAAACTTCATAGACTTTTTTTTTTTTTTTTTAAGATTTTTTTTTGTGCCTTTAATGTAGAGACAGGACAGTGGATAGAGTTGGAAATCAGGGAGAGAGAGAGTAGGGAATGACCACTGCGCCACCAGCGCCCCTTCATAGACTTTTTGACAAATTTATTCCCCCAAGGCAAACATTCATGACCCACTGAAAATGACTCTGCGACCCACTTTTGGGTCCCAACCCACCAGTTGAGAACCATTGGACTATAGAGCATTTGGGGCGTGAGACTGTCTCTGCTCGTAGGTTATCAAAATAAGTTTCGGACATATGAACTAAAATAGGGGTGCTGGTGACGCAGTTGTTAGTGCGCGTGCCCCATGTGTGGAGGCCATGGTCCTCCAAGCGGGCAGCCCAGGTTCAAATCCCACCTGTGGCTCCTTTCCCGCATGTCATTCCCCACTCTCTTTCTCTATTCAATGTCCTGTCTCTCCTGTCTTACAAAAAAGCCCAAAAATAAATATATATATTAACTAAAATAAAGATTACACACGTACTGGTTAGTTTATTCAAAGTCTGAAGAATAAACTGTGTAGAGATGTTTCCCCTCTCAGAAATATCAGACATTCTTGTCAGCAACATTCGTAACTCAGCTTACAATGAATTCAACAATGGAACCCTATTTTTTCATTTGGGACCTTGGGGTCTCTGAGGAAGAAGGTTGGGAACCTGGACTAGGAATTATAATCTCAAACATTGAATTAAGTCACACTGAAGTTATGGTACAACACGAATCAACGAAGAACATGTCCAAATCATAACAACTGTATATGAGGTCTCTGTGAATTTGCCGGCTATACATCTCTCGCTTTCCCTATACTGTACGTCTGTGTTAGTCAGTATGTTTCACTAAAGATAAGATGGTTACTAAAAAGTTAAACTTGTATCCACTAAATTGGCCACTCCAGTTAATTGTGATCACTGTTTAAACATTCCTTAGTTTGTTTTCATTTTCTTTCGACAGCTGACTCCTGAGGTGAACTCTGGACTTAAATATCTAAACTGACAATTTCTGTAAACAGATACCCATTACTGCTTCTTCCTGTCACAGGCTTGTCCAAGACAAATATGAAAAGGGGTTGAAACAGCATAAAGCCATGAGTTTAAGAACACCTGCACTTTTTTCTTCTTCTAATTGTTGCACATTTACTTTTACATTATTATTGCAGCTCTTTGATTTTTAGGATTCCCAACAGGTCTGGGAAAGTATTGTCACCCAAGTACCTAATGTAGCATCTGCTGTACTCAAAGAAAACTATGAGAATCTCTATCAGTAAGTCGAAGGCTCCTCTCCTGAATCTGACTTACCTGCAGTCTGAAGCTCAGAGCTGCCACCTGCTGTTTGTGTGAGGAACAGGTGAAGGATTCAGAGTGTGTCTCTGAGGATCTGCGGGGGGGGGGGGGGGGGGGCTCAGGTTACAGAGTCCTTATACTCCCTGTTCGTGTTAAATCCAGACTCATATCACAATGAGCCCGGGGCCTCCCTCTTTATTAATATATCTTGTTTCATTATATTGTATTCTGCAAAAGATTTAATTTGAACTTTAAAAAAAATAGAAACAGCTTTTAATTATTTGCAAGTTGAAGTTCATCTGATCCAGTTGTTTGTGAAGAACAGCTTTTTGAATGTGAGTCAAGTCTCTGAGACACTTTCCTCTGGAGGAAATGACCTCATGTCTGACGGCTGGAGACCTCACTGCAGCATAGCTGCATGTTTTCCAGACCTTTTCCTCCCCGACTGTGTCTGTGCAGAAAATGGTGGAAAATCTTGTTTCAAATAAGTTGAACAGCAAACATGTTGCATTGGAGATGATTTGTTTGGATACATGGTTTTGTGAAGGATGAGGCAGCTGAGATGATGGCTTTATTAGTATTTAAGAAGTGTAGGCAGCTGTTCTGAGGGGCAGTAAATGAATTAACGGCAGCATGGTTTGGTGTTTAGTCTAGTTGCCTTGTAGTAAGAAAGTACTCTTTGTTTGTGTCGATGCTCTCTCAACCGCATTCAAAAATGCTTCATGCGTTAACACTACAGCTTTATTTTTTGCATCATGTCGCTTGGCCTTTAGGGAAACAAAGAAAATATAGATTGGAGGAATTCACATTAACTTGGTTGAATGTTTGAAGGAATTTACGTTCTTTTTTGTATCTGGTGTTTGACTGAGCTTACATGATCATCAGTTCAGTGTGAACACCAACAAAAGGGCTTTTTTGTCATATCTTATCTGTTGACTCAGAAAATGTAGAAAAACAGTGATGAAAAAAAAGTTGAGCTTTCAATTTGGTTAACTTTAAAGGTCACATATTCTCCTAATTTTTTAACAAGTTTAAATCAGTCTCAGAGCTCCCCAAAACAAACAACAATTTCTTGTTCTAAATCCACTCTGATCCTGTATTTGATCATGCCTATAAACCCCTCAGAACAGGCTGTTTCTGTGCCTGTAGCTTTAAATGTAAATGAGCTGTGTCTGACCACGCCCCTCTAGAAGGGCTTGGGTGGCTCTGGCTTTCTTTCGGAGAGACTCAGAGGCCAAACAAACACCTAGCTGTGGGAGTGTCAGCAACCTGGGGGAGGGGTTACTGCCCTTTGTGATGTCATGAAGGGGAACATCTCTAAACAGCCTGTTTGAGCACACATTTTCTAAAAAGTGGAGCAGGCATAAGACGGAGGGGATGGACTTTTCTCATGATTGGGGGCTTTGTAGACAGAATAAGGACACATATTAGTGTCAGAAAAACATGATAAAATGTATTTTGCACAAGATGTGACCTTTAAGTTGATATAGAGAAAGAAAATCACAGTCTATCAGTTTTGCTTTATTGTAACTGACCAAAAGTTAAGAAAAACTAAGTGTGTATTCTCCACCTGTGTGTGTGTTCCAGGAGATGAATTGGGCTGCACGGCTGACGGCCAGACTTACACCAACAAGGACATCTGGAAGCCGGAGCCATGCAGGATCTGTGTGTGCGACAACGGCCAGGTCCTGTGCGATGAGATCCAATGTGACGAGCTGAGCAACTGTGACAAAGTGGTCATCCCCGATGGAGAGTGCTGTCCTGTGTGTCAGAGTGGCTCATCAGGCGGCGGCGGAGGCGGCGGGGGTGAGGGAGCAGCTGATCACTGTTAAAGTGGAAAAGAATAAGAATATATTCGTACCTAGAAACGTTTTTATCTGCCTCTTTATATTTCAAGTATGTGGGGGGAGGTGGCAGTTATAGAAACCCACTTCAAGAAAAGTCAGAAGAAATAATAATCACATCTTAAATCAATGATTATAACGATGATGTCATCAGTTTGAAATGTTTGAGCTTCGACAGGTCTTTGTGTTGCTGCTTCAAAATCACTGAACAGATGATGCCATCATCAAACTGTTAACATCAATAGACTCTAAGAGTGAGTTATTGGGGTTCATGAAGGAGTTCAAATGGACAATTTTAACTTCATTGACCTTCTTAATGATGACAAATTGATGTGTTTATTTCACCTCTGCATTCTTCTCTAATAAACTTCATATATTATGGAAGGCCTGAGAGGCAACTGAATAAAAAGGAGTCGATTTTTTTTCTATTTATTGTTTATGGCTTCAAGCCTCTTGTGGCCGACATGAGTATTACAAAAACAAACACTAAAATTGGCCTAAGATTTTTTCAGTCAGTCCAACTTTTTTTTTGCACCTTGTCACATGAACAAAACAAAACCCAGACTGTTTTCACAGACAAAAAGCTTGTGTTGGAGACAACAACATCAAAGTCTTTTTTTCACTAGCCAAGACTTTTTTCACCTTTTCACCACAGAATTGAAATGAATGAATTCATGAATTAATGGATGAAAGGATAAATGAATCAATAATTTCATTATTAAAAATTATGAATTAGAAAAAAAAAAGGAATTAGAATTACAAGCCAAGACAAACAATTGTTTTAATCATTTCCCCAAACTTTTTCAGAAACAAAAAATTTGGGAACCCACAGAAATGATTCTGACCATTTCCTAGTTTAGAACAATAATTATCAGCATTTTTTTTTCTTCACTGCCACATAGTGCTTCAATCATTTATGTTGAAAAAAACAATGTATTTCATTCTTTCTCCTCCTTGTAGGTGGTGGCGGCCGGATCTTTAGGGTAAGCCCACAATTGTGATCATTACAACATTTTTGTCTTGTTTTATATTATTATCAACACCATGGAGAATGGGCTTTAAACATTGTCTCTGTTTCTATCAGGGCCAGAAAGGAGAACCAGGGGATGTCCCACTCGTGAGTGTTTGCTATTTAAATTATTAAACACTACAATATTTGTAATAAATAAAAAGATTTATTCATCTATTTAATGTTATCCTTGCAGGTGACTGGTATTAGAGGTCGCCCTGGACCTATGGTGAGTATCTTGGCTGCCTCATTTCCTGCATGTGACACCTTTCCCAGTTTCTTTTTTTTACTTGTTGAGCCAGTTAAGCTAACACTAGATGGCATAAGAGAACAGTTCACTTTCCTAACTTCCCCTTAAAAGGATTTCTGCAGAATGTGATCTACCTCTGAGTCACTGTGACATTTAAAGCCCCTGTTGTCATATATTTACGAGCATCACATCGTTGTGCTTTGATTTGATCACTATCTGACTCTTGTTGTTTCTGTTTGTTCATCACAACAGGGACCTCCCGGCTCCCCAGGAGAGAGGGGAGCTCGAGGAAACAAAGGAAGACCTGTAAGTCTTATCCACAAGCCTCCACAGACAGAACAGAGAACCTTAATGTCAAACTGTTATCAACTGTTTTGGTAAATCTTACTTCACAAAGGACCCCACCTTTGTCATTTAAGTAAGATTTACCATTTCACTTGATATCATTGAAGTAGAAATGTTTTCATGCAAACCTTAGATAATAACTTTTTTTGTGGTGGATAAATGTCAGTACACAAACAGGTTAAACAGCAGTATTTCAAAATGAATTAGGCTACATAAAACATTAACATTCCTTCAAGGACCACCCACACAGTCCCCCCCGGAGCAACAATAGAATACATTTTCTGCACATTTGAACTAAAAAATAAAAAAAACTTGACCCCAGGGTCGGTGGGCCCTGTAGAACCAGAGTGATTAACAAGTTACACTTTAATACAATTAATACAATTTCAAAGTTATATCATCAAAGATATTGTCATTCGCTCTGGCTACATTTCTGTGGTTTTATTTCAACACTATATTGAAGGACTAAATAATTAATCCTTGTGGCTTCATGGATCAAACATATTTATATTTTTTTATATATTTTTTAATAAAAATAGTGGAATGCATTATCCTGTTTAAATAATCTACTGGAAGATTCACTCATCCAGAAGTCACATGACATTTTTGACTTGACCCTTGCTTGCTGCATGGGGTCGTGAGAACGAGTCCTGATTAGACAACAAGACTTTAGCAGTCTGTTACAAAGTGGTTCATATTTTAACAAAGAAGGAAGCTCAAATCAATTTCAACGTTTTATGTGCTTTTATGAAAAGTATATGAATCTGTAAGATCAGTAGTGTAGCTGCATTGGAGACAACGAGCCAGGTGTGCTTGTTTGGCCTGATGGCCCCTTTCTCCACTCACAATCTGCAGGCCACATAGAAAGACAATCTACACACCAATCAGGACAACCTCAGGATCAAACTATCTGAATTGGTCAAAAGAGAAGCAAAATATTTGAATGTGTGTATCATTTATAACTTCTTGGTTCGAGTGCAGGATACTAAATGCCAAAATAATTTAGTATATGTCAGCTTGTTGTATAATTTGCTTTGCAAGCAGAATTCTAGCAGGATGATGAATGAACAGGTCTCTCTGACTGCAGAGGAAGGCAGCATCTAGGGTGATTTATAGAACATAAACCGTGCATTTCCTGCTAAACTGTAAAGGCATGGGTCATAAACCAACATCATTTTAATTTATCATTATACTTTGGAAAGTGGTTTTGGTTTTTCTTTAAAAAGAAAGTAACATTTCCTCTAAATATTTTAGTCAAAACAAGTATACCTACGTTTATCTACTACACTGGTTGAATGATGAATCTGTTCTTTAGTCTGTGAGTTATCAACAAAACCCCAGCTGTTACAGGATAATGATTCAGTGTCTGGCTGAGACTATTTTGTTGTAAAATGTTTTTCTTAGTAAAGCTAATCAGCTTCTCTCTCTGGGCTCTTTAGGGACTACGAGGCTCTGCAGGTTATGATGGAGAGCCTGGAGTACCAGGTCAGCCTGGGGAACCAGGACCTCCAGGACATCCAACGCACCCAGGAGTGAGTCAAGCACGCCTGCGAAATGCTGCAGAAACACATTTGTACACCTATGCATGTGCTTACATGCACAGAATGCACAAAGACACAACTTAATACCCTCAAGACAGATTGTTAATCAGACAAACCTGAAACCAAAAATACACTTGCAATGACGTCAGCCTTACTCATCCTACATAACGTGAAAAGCATTCACTTCAACCACTTCCACTGATGCAATATTTTTAAAAATATATATAATTCTTTTTTTTGTGTGCATCATTTGTCTCCAAATTTTATTTTAATGTTTTGATGGAAACACACTGACTGAACTAAAGTGTGTGTGTTGTTCTCCTGCAGGGCCTGGGATCTGAGATGGCTGGATTATCAGAGGGAAAAATGGGACCTCAGGGCATGTTAACTGGCTCAAGGGTGAGTGGATGTTTACAAAGTATGATTTAACTCGATTTGTCATTGTTTCTTTTCCAGCACAAAAGGACACTATTAGATTACTGGTCTTTTCAGATAAGATTTAGTTTGAATCCCATTGCCACCTGCAGCTGAGATGAGAGGGACTTTGGCATAAAAAAAACAATAATAAAGGAACAGTTTTACAAATTTTGCAAATACTGATTTGATCCTCCAATGTTAGAAGGTGTGGTGCTGTCTCAGATGTTTTTTGTGGCAAATTTGGGATCTTTAATCTAATTGAACTTTCTATAGTTTTTCATTAGTCAATACTGTAACGCCCTCTTCAATGATGCCTTTCCATAAACTTAAGGAGCACCTAAGAAAGTACCAGTATATATAAAATGATTGTCAATATAACATCAATTCTTTTTTTTAATTTATCTTTGTCTTTTTAACATCAGTGTTAAGCAGTTTGGATGTCACAAATGTGCCAAGTTTGTAATTCAGGCCTTTGATTGGAAATAATTAGTCTCCTTAAACTGATGACATCACACGTTAGCCTTTTTAGACTTTGGGGTGCACCCACCAGAGCTATGAGGAGATAGTAGAATATTTTAAGATGATAGGATAGTAAAACATTTATTCATGGAACACTGTTCTTCTATTAAGGACCATCCATCAATCCTTTATCGATACTGATTTTCCTGTTTGGGGTCGTGGGGGGCTTGAGCCGATCCCAGATGTCATTGGGCGAAAGGCGGGGTTACTCCCTGGACTGTTCGCCAGTCATTTACTGAGCAGTCATAGAGACAGACAACACATTCACACCTACGGTAACATATTTAGAGTTACCAAATAACCTTACAAGTCTTTGGACTGTGGGAGGAATCTTGAGTACCAGGAAAGAACCCACACATGCACACCGAGAACATGCAAACTCCACACAGAAGCACTCATGTACGACTGGGATTCAAACCAGGAACCCCCAGCCCTCTTCTCTTAACATTGTTACCAAAATATGCAAACTCAAGATCAAGATATTTCAAGTGGTTCAGCTTTAAGCAGGCTGGTTTTTATTCTTATAATAAATCAGCTGCCGCCAATGGACTTGGATGAATGAACTTTGTTTTCATTATCAAATACATTTCTACATTTCAATTCACCAGAAACCAACTGCACTAATTAGGCAGACTGGAATCCACCCATGCTTCGACTTTATGAGCATGAAGCAGAATGATGGATTGATGAATTGGACTGCAAAGATATTTCATAGTTATCGAGATAAGTTAAACGTTCCCTCAAACAGATTGGCATGGTCTTTGCTTACATTCTGGTCAAACGTTAGCAAAATATCAAAAGATCTGTTGAGTTAATACTGTAGATAGATAGATATATTTACTTTATTGATCCCAAACTGAGAAATTGTGGTGTTACAGCAGCAGGTTATCAAACATTTCAGTGTGCTTTGATTTGAAATCAATCAATAATTGAAGGACTCTTGGACTTTCTGTTTGCAGGGTTAAAACAAATTAACAGCCATATTAATCAACAATTCCATTTGTGTCTTTGACCTCAGAGGGCAGGTTTAAGTATCTCTGGCCTTTTACTTAATGATGTCCATCATTTGTTTTTGCATCATTTGATTTAAGGGGGAGGCTGGAGCCAGAGGACCACCTGGACCAAACGGCACACCTGTAAGTCCACAGCAAGCTTTGAAACAGGGAAATTACTAAAAGCGATTCGATTTTGTTTGTTTTGCCCGATCTGTCTCTTTTAAACATTTCCCTCAATCCGCCTAGGGTCATGCTGGAACACAAGGACCTCCTGGAGAAGTCGGTGATCCAGGACACATGGTGAAACTTCATTCTTTTGTACACTTTTTTTATACACATGGTCAGATTAGTAATTCACTTCCTCTGGCATAGGCATAAAAGAGAGAAACAACACCTAAACACTCATCAATGAAGCTCATTAGATTTTAATTGTATTGTGATGGATTTGTTGTTTTGCAGAATGTTTAAAATCGGACTTCTTTTGTTTGTTTGTTTGTTTGTTTTAGGGAACATCTGGGCAGAGGGGACCTGAGGGCCCTCCAGGGAAACCAGGTGAAGATGTAAGTAAGATCTCGGAACCTCAAAATGTAACATAACAAAGAGTAAGGTCTTTTACCTGCTCTTTTGTAAAGTGCTTTGAGATAACATTTGTTATGATTTGTTGCTAAACAAATACAGATTGATTGACTGATTGATTGATTGATTAATTGATTGATTGATTGATTGATTGATTGATTGATTGATTGATTGATTGATTGATTGATTGATTGATTGATTGATTGATTGATTGTTTGTTTAATTGTTTGATTGAAAATGTCAGATTTTAAAAGATGTTTAAAAGTTACTCTCCACACAATCAAAACATAAAAATCATTATAGAAAAGTTGAGTTTAAATCTGTTACCATGAAGCAGATAGGCCTGAATACTTTCCTTACATTGTGGATTGGAACATCCTGGACATGCATGATGATTACATGCAGATTTACAGTGAAGCCACAGACGTTGTTATAATGAGGTATCAGAAGTGACCTTCACATACTTTGTTTTTCATGTCAAACTGACAGACCGCTGAGCCTCCTTTTGAATTGACTACATTAAAATAATTAATTTGTTTAGCACTTTTCTTTGATTTCCTGTCAGGGGCTAATAAGGCAAAATAAAAGACTGAACATCATTTACCAACAACGTGAGAAAATGAAAGCCCAATGCATTTATAATAGGCCATCAGCATGTGTACATTATCCTAAAATCTTAATAATTAAAAACAAACAAATTAAAACACTTAATAGCCATATCTATCAGATCCAAGCTATGGACCCGTAATGTTTGTCACATATGAAGGTTTTTGAAATTAATTTCTTATTCCCCCACAGGGAGAGTCAGGCACACCAGGAAATAGTGGAGAAGTTGGATTCCCTGGATCAGCTGTAAGCTTATGGACCTCTACACCTCCATCACTTAATTGAACACAATGTATCTTCTGTCTGTTGTTCAGGATGAAGTTTGATGATGTGTGTAATTGGTGCATCTATAGTTTGAATAACTAACCCTTGTTTTTATTTGACACATTTCAGGGATCCAGAGGATTTCCAGGAACTCCTGGACCTCCTGGGCTGAAGGGTCACAGGGTGAGTTTAGTTCATTGACACTTTGGCAGCTAAGTTACATAAATCGAAAGCATCAATGGCATCTCCTTTAGAATGTTTTCTGTCTCTTGACTTGGCTGCTACACTACAGTTTATTACAAACCTGTGCATGAAAGTGGTTTCACCTTATTTTGATGTTTTCTACTGTTCTGTTATCATTTGATACGGGTTCAGCTGCATAGACAGAAATGTTTACAGTGTTTTCCTGTTTTTGTTCTTAGGGTCACGGTGGACCTATTGGCCAAAAAGGTGAACATGGAACTGTTGGATCCAAGGTATAAATCAAATTTGAAGCAAAACATAGATTGTATTTGTTGTTTGGTTGGCAGATTTCTTACTGTTAGACTCAAGTACCTCCTTTGCCAAAAGGACTTTGAGACATCATGCCGTGTCATATGGTTATATTGTGAAACTAAACTTGTACCTTTTGTTGTTTTCCAGGGTGCTACAGGCCCCTCTGGTCCAATGGGAGCACCTGGACCCATGGTAAGATATATTCAGAAAATGTAAGTTTCCAATGGTTTTGAAAGATTTCAATACCCACTGAATGGTCAAGGGTATCTGACACTCTTTAGTTGCCGAAGCGACCCATGCACTTTTATATTGTTTGTTATGCCTTTTTCTAATCTCCTCTTTACTGAAGGTAAATCATGAGTAAGACTTGCTCACTGTTGACTTTTGTGTGGAACAGGGTCCTGCTGGGATGCCAGGGGAGAGAGGACGCTCTGGACCCGGCGGTATAGCTGTAAGGATGATACTATCATTTTCTGTCTGTCACAGATTTTGAAAGAAATGGCTGGTTTTGAAAAGGGACACCATTTTGTTCTAACATCACAGTTTAACTGTAATTTATAAGTTAAAGCGTTTTTGTTTTTTTTTATTATAGGGAAAGCGTGGTCCACCTGGTAACGTCGGGAAACCTGGTCCAATGGTAGGTGTTTTACTCTTTTGGATTTACTGTACACTCATGTTACCATCTTTAGGCACATTTCCACCAAACGTTTCTGGGACTTTTAGTACTAGGAGTTACTTTTAATGGATTAAGGGATTAAAAGGTTCAACCAATTGTTGTTTGCATCCTTTTTAAGCGTCTATAGATCTTTGAAGATAAGATACAATTCAACCTACTGACATGTGAAGGATTCTTCTGAATGCTGCTAAATTACCTAATATCAGAAATATTCCAAACTACAAGTCCCCCCCAAGTCCCTCTTTAATAAACTACTATCACCCATAACTGGGACATTTTGGGGGTATCCTTGATTTTGATTTCTTGTTTCCACAAATTGCACATTGCAGCCCTTGTTCCTTGATGAAAGTTCCTGCAGTGGAAATGCAGTCTAATATATTTAGCATAGACTAGCATTTGGGTTGATGTATTGAAGTTTAATTGTATTTTTTGGTTCTTTAACAGGGTCCCTTGGGTCTCAGTGGACCATCTGGATATCCTGGATCACCAGGAATGAAGGTAAGGACTGTAAACAACCCTTATGCTATATGTGCATTCTAAAGGACTCTTATAACTGTCTATTGAATTGAATATGTATAATTGTTTTTTTTTATAAATCAAATTATAATACTCACTTATCTGATAAGTTTTCAATTTGCACATTTTAACTGGCTACAAACCAAACCAATGTACCTGTATCATATTTCTATATAGTAACTTTACTTGGTGAACCTTCACAGGGACAACCTGGCCCCACAGGAGTCCGTGGTCCAGAGGGCCCCCAGGGACAGAGAGGAGAGACCGGTCACCTTGGCAGGGCTGGACCAGTTGGCCTCAGGGTAAATAACTTACTTTACTTACACATAACCAACAGAAACATAATAAGTATGTGCCTAACAAAGCAACTTATTTATCAAACTGCTCAAGATTGTTCTTGTAGTTGTATGGTATTCTTTCACAGGATAGTTGGCTCAAGGTTATCACAGAACAGTACTTGTCAACATGCTTCTCAGTGTTCTGCTATGATGATCTAAATGTCATTTGGTCTTATAGGGAATCATGGGTACAGATGGTGGCCCGGGTGCCAAAGGACCAGTGGTATGTTCTCAGTAAATTATTTAAAACTCATTAAGTATTTAAAATAAGGATACTTAAGAGGTCACATATAATATGGCTGACTCTCCACAGGGTAATCTTGGCCCACAAGGTCAAGGTGGCCATCTTGGACCCGCTGGTCCACCAGGACCCCAAGGAAGCACTGGTCAGCCTGGGATCAAAGGAACATTGGTAAAGCAGCTTTAAATTTGGAAAATTATTGCATTTATGCCTGCCATCATTTTTATAGTCAACTCTTGCTGTTTAGGGAATTCATGCTTTTACACTTTTCTGCGACAGGGAGATGTTGGTGTGCCAGGATTCAAAGGAGAAGCTGGACCCAAAGGAGAACCTGTAAGTTTGAAATACAAATGAAGAACCAACAAGATCTTAATTCTGTTGAACAAGAAAATGAAGCGTTATCTAGGTAAGTGAACCTGCTTTTATATAATTTTCTGTGGGTTTTTGTCAATGTTCTAGGGTCCTCCAGGATCCCAGGGAGTGATTGGACCTCAGGGTGAAGAAGGAAAGCGAGGACAACGCGGTGACTCTGGCTCTGTCGGCCCTGCAGGCCCCGTTGGAGAGAGAGTAAGTCAGCATTCTGGCTCCAAATGTAACTGCTATCTGCAACAGATCTGCACTTTAAAAACAAAGGATATGTAATGAATGGGAGGAAGAGAATGAATCATTTTGGGACAAATTGAGCATGTGTGAAATTGGCAGTTTCTATTCATGCAGGGAATTAGGTGACATGTGGAAAAGTGGTATGGCAATGGCTGACACCAACAACTCATTGCAAAAAGGTTGGGGGTCTGAATCTCAGGCCGCCATGGCCTTTCTGCATGGAGTTTGCAAGTTCTTCATGTGTAGCCTTTGGACTTCTGCCACAGTCTAAAAGTTGGTGAACTTGATAATCCAAATTGGCAACAGATTTCAAAGACTCAAAACAATTTAAAGCTTGGATGATGAATAGTGGATGTCCCTCTTGTAATTTGAGGAGAAGTCCAGATTCAAATGTTTCTGTTGACGGAACTTCAGTTCTGAATTTGTAAATGGTTTCTTAACTACAACTATTTCCAATCTTTGTTGGATAAATAACATGATATGGTTTCTAACTTACTTTTAGGGATCTCCTGGTAACAGAGGATTCCCTGGTGCTGATGGCATGCCAGGACCCAAGGTATGTATATTTTAGACTCAGAAGTTGTTCTACTGCTGTTTATTTGAATACATTCTTTAAACAAACAAGGCAATATATGTTGGAAGCACAGTAGCATTCAGATTGTACATGGGTTTGTGTCCTCGGCATTTTGATTGGCACTCAAATATTTTATCTTGTTTTTTTTAAGGGTGCCCTAGGAGATCGTGGAACATCTGGACCACATGGGCCCAAAGGCTCACTAGGAGACCCTGGTCGTACAGGAGAGGCTGGTCTACCAGGTGCAAGGGTAACACTGAACATCTTTATATCCAGCTTTAATCTCTACCAATTATATTATCAAATGCACTCTGTTCATGTCCATATCCAACATTTCCATTGCATGTTCATTTTATCTCTCCATCCTAGGGTCTCACTGGTACCCCTGGAGTCCAGGGAGCAGAAGGAAAGCCAGGTCCACTGGTAGGTTACTGTGCTCAATTACATTAGCACTACTGGATTTTAGGTTTTAGGTTATGATAACTGAAAAAACATGATTCAGACAAAGTTTGGTTTCCTTTGTAGGGTGCCGCAGGTGAAGATGGTCGTCCAGGCCCTGCAGGGTCCATTGGAAACAGAGGACCAGCAGGAACCATGGGAGTGCCAGGCCCTAAAGGATTTAATGTAAGACTGCAGAGTCCCTCAAAGTTCTGCACGTATAATTCTTCCAGTCAGTCCATTTATTTCCTGTTTTATTACTAATTAAAAATAATACTTTCAACTCAAGGGTGACCCAGGAAAGACAGGTGAACAAGGATCTGCAGGAGTAGCTGGTCAGAGAGTGAGTACTGTTTTTTGAAGGTTGTACACTTCATATTAATGGGAAAAAAAGGCATGTGCTTTATGATTCACAAAGTAAGCACAGCAAGAATATAACATAAATAACATTCTGTCTTCAGGGTCCTCCTGGAAAAGATGGAGAAGTTGGCCCTGCTGGACCCCCTGGCCCTGCTGTAAGAGTCTTATTTCTCTATTGTAACATTAAATGCATTTTTACCTGCAATCATAAATGACTGAGACATTTCATTTTCATCTCAAAGGGTGTCGCAGGAGACAGAGGAGAGCAGGGACCTCCAGGTGTAAATGGATTTCAGGTGGGTAAAAGATATTTGGCAATAAGCTGTGAGAAAGTTGCAATACCTAAGTGCTGCCTTTGATGCATTTGATGTGAAAAATGTATCAGTATACAACTTATATTGAGACCTTGATGTGACAGGAAGAAGGCTTATAATGGTTATATTGGACTATCTTGTGTTCTTAGGGTCTGCCTGGAAATCAAGGCCCTCCAGGAGAATCCGGAAAACCAGGCGACCAAGTGAGTGTGACAAAAAGCTAGAAATGAAGCTTGGACCAACTTCTTTTCAATTTGTACTTCTATCTTTAAACCATCCTTAAATCCTTTGAATTGACATAAATTCCATATCAATAAGAGATGTTTTATTTATTTATTTAAGGGTATTCCTGGAGAGCTGGGTGCTGTGGGCCAGATTGGACCACGGGTAAGTTAATTTCAATCCGCTACATTCTGTAGTTTAGTTACATTCCTAAGTAAGATTGAATCTGATGGGTTTGGGTTTTCTTCCACAGGGAGAGCGAGGAATCCCTGGGGAGAGAGGAGAGCTGGGTTCAACTGGTCTGCAGGGGCCTAAGGGGATCCCTGGTGCACCCGGTCCTGATGGTCCAAAGGTACCAAGTGGAGACATCACTTATATGTACAGCAATGCAGACTGAGACTGATAAAGTCATGTGACTCATACAGCCAATGACTGGAGTAAAGAGGCCAAAGCTACAGTACAGTATTTAGTATTAAAACAGTATGAGGTATATTATGATCATTTTGTAAATGTGATAGTTACAGCATATAATACACATTCAGTGTTTTATGCATATATACTTGGATTTTTTGAAAAACCTTTTACTTGTAGTGCTACACCCAAAAACACTGATTTGTAAATCAGAGGGAAATCTACAATATAATATGTTACAAATATATTGAATAGAATTGTAATATTTTATGTTTGGTACATTTATTTATTTGATATAAAAAGTCCACTCTGGTGAAGTTGTGGCAAAAGAGCTTATAAAAGATTCTTTGTGAAGTACTTTGAAAGTTTTAATTAAAATTATGATCAAATATGCCCATTTTTATTTTATAGTTTAATAGACACAAAATGTGATAGTCTCGGGTATGCAAGTGATTACTTAAATGCTTACAGCCTATATTTACAAGGCTTCAGGAGATACTAATTTACATGTATGGTGGCACCTGAAATTAAAAGATGTGAAACTTCCTTAAAATAAAATGCATCTGAGGGAAACAGGAGGCTTTGCAAGATACAAAATACATGTCATTTCAGTTCATGCTGCAAACACAGCGACACACAGCTCCAAGGTATGACCCGGAAAATAGTTTGTCAAGGATCATAAGTACTATTGGTTGGCAGTCCTAGGATTAAAAACTGTTGCACTTCAACATATGTCTAAGATTTAATAATCCTGTTCACTTCTGTGTTTGTCACTGCAGGGTAGTCCTGGTCCCCCTGGTGCACTTGGTGATGTTGGTCCCCCAGGTCTTCAAGGAATGCCAGGAGAGAGGGGCATCTCTGGCCCTCCTGGGCCCAAAGGTGACAGAGTAAGTCCATCATTATCTTTTTCTTTTATGCTCACAACTCATGAATGTATTTTATAGTACGCATATATTTCAACAATATGCCGAAACTTGTAGTATCTTGGCTACAAATTGGGTTAACATAAATGGTTGCAAAACCGCATAATCATCCAATTTGTTTAATTGGAAATGCACTTACATAATCTTTGGAAGATGTAGACGTTGTTATGTAAGAATCAACAAGTCTGATATTGAATTAAATGTAAGAAGTTGTTACCAAATGATGACTGCCAATAATAGTGATTTTCTTTTTTACAGGGAGCGATTGGTGAGAAAGGATCAGAAGGCACAGCTGGAAATGACGGTGCTAGAGTAAGCAAGCTATCTGTACTTATTCTGTTCAAATGTTAGACTAAAAAAAGAAGGAGAAAGGAGTATTAGTGCACATTTGAGACTTGTCAGGGCTTGTTCAGTCATGTTGGATTGACTCTGTGATCTCCAACCAACATTATGCACTCTGTCAACAGGGAACCCCAGGTCCTGTCGGCCCACTCGGACCTGCTGGGCCCAGCGGAGAGAAGGTAGAGTGTTTTCTTTCTGACACACATTCAAAGGCTGATTTTGTTAGATTGGTTCAAGGCTGAGACAAGTTGTGTTCTAGGAAAGCGTCGATTCCCAGGATGCCTACTATGCTGTTAATCCTTCAGCTTCTTGTGTTCTTGGCTGTGTTCGATGGCATGTTGCAGCATGTGAAGGACAGTCTTTGGCTCACATTGCCTTGCAAAAGTGAAAAAAAAACAACCTGGAAGGAATATTGGAAGAACAGGCTCAATGAATTATTTTAGAAATTACTGTGTGAGTAACTTGTGATATCTTTACAGGGAGAACCTGGACCCAAGGGGCCAGGTGGACCTCCAGGATCCAGAGGAGTGCCAGTGAGTAAACCTACTCAATGTTTTTTCTAACTAGTTAACCTTTTTAATTTATGATCAAACTGCTGTTCCAGTATGTGCTGATTTCATTAGAACTCCTCATCACCTATGTTTGTCTTTGTTGTTTGTTACAGGGGGGAAGAGGTGACCCTGGTCCCATTGGTAGTGTTGGATTTGCTGGAACTCCTGTAAGTGCTATCTTTGGCTTTGAATGTCAAAATGATGATTTATAGATCTTAATAGTTATCCATAATGGGAATTTAAAAGGTTAATTTACAAATTCAACTGGTTTTGATGTATTTTATTATTTTTCATAGGGCCCTGATGGTCAACCTGGAGTCAAGGGAGAGCCTGGAGAGCCAGGCCAGAAAGGAGATGCTGGATCACCAGGACCTCAAGGCTTGTCTGGTGCTCACGGGCCGCCTGTAAGTTGTTACAGAATAAGAATGCTGTCTTATAAATCAATTTTAAAGTAGTTGTTCTTGTAATTGTGCTCTATATACTAAAACGTGTCATCAGTTGTACTTTTTTGTGGTCCAGCCTGAATGTTTTAGTGCATTTATTCCTGCAGAAAATAAGCATTTTTCACTCTTTTGGAAGTATTCCTGTTGATAAGTGTTTTCTAATAAAGCTTTGTTTTCCTAGGGGCCAACTGGTGTTGCTGGGCTGAAAGGCGGACGAGGAACTCAGGGTGCACCAGTAAGATCAGTTTAAATTACTTATTGTGAATAGGATATGATATTCAGTTGAATATAACACTATTGACTGTCATAACACAAATGCTATATGTCTCTTAATTCAAACATTAGCGAATACATTCTGTTCAAAAACCTGCCATAGAGTATGTGATGATCTTGTATAATTTTCCTCTTAAAGGGCCCCACTGGTTTCCCTGGATCTGCAGGGAGAGTCGGTCCTCCGGGTCCCACTGTGAGTACTACCCCCAGTCTGTAATTGTCATATGTTAAGGTCACCATGTGAAAATACAACCAGAATGTGTTATATGTCCCTTACTATGTACGTTAAATACTCTGTTGTATGGATGGTTTGGAAAACAAAAACAATATTAATAACCTTAAAATAAAAAAAATATGTATTACTAAAAACTTCACTTCGCCGAAGGGTTTTCATGCAGCATCTTTTAAAAGTTAAAAGCAAGCGATCAAACAATCCTCACACTTTATGTAGTCATTGGCCAGGTCTGCGTGCGACCAGTGTCTCCTTTTGAGAACCTATAAACACTAACTTTTTACAAGTGGAAGGATTGTATTTTACATCACATACTTTTTTTTTAAAACAACCTTAACACTGTAGAGCTAGATGCACCCAATTCATGACCTCTTCCGTTCCTTACAGGGCCCGCTGGAGAGCCCGGACCCATTGGAGCACCTGGAAAAGAAGGTCCTGCTGGTCTTCGCGGAGACCACGGACCCCCTGGAAGACAAGGAGAACGAGGACCAGCAGGACCAGTTGGAAGCCCCGGAGACAAAGGGGACTCTGGAGAGGACGGACCCACGGTAATCTGATTTTATTATTTTGATATAATTCTTTTATTAAACTTTCTGAATTGGAATATATTAGTATTGTCTTCAACCAGCGTCTGTTGATTAGATAAAACTGATGAGGTAATTTCTTTCATTTGCAGTAATAATATTTGAATTGATTAAATATAAAATGCTCTGTAGCCTTAGTGTGAAGAAAAATAGTCACAGTGTTTCAGTTAAACAGAAGCTTGTGTTCTTTTAATGGTTCCCTGGTTCTTCTGTGGCTGTAACTCTGGGATGTTTATTGACGCCTCTCTAAGTTGCTGGTTAAGTGTGGTGTACAAAAAGGCGGAACTTCCTGATGACATTTTGAAATAAAGGCTGACCTGTTAGAAAGTTCTTGTGGTGTTGGAGGGCAGATATTGGAAATTATTCCGGTCAGAGAATGAGGACAGGAGAGAGGATTCGCATCTCGAGGCGTTTATTTGTGAAAGCCAGAGCTGATAAACCGGTTTATCATTTTTATTATAATAGTTATTAATCTACATATGTGTGGCTTTAGGGTCCTGATGGTCCTCCAGGTCCAGCTGGAACTACAGGACAGAGAGGCATTGTGGGTCTTCCTGGTCAGAGAGGAGAGCGCGGGATGCCAGGTCTTCCAGGACCTGGGGTATGTACTTTTCTTCAGTCTTGATTCTGCTGCTCATGAAATCCTTTCGTAATCTCATGCAATGAACACATTCTTTAAAGTGTGCGTGCTGTGGAACAGTTGTTTTAGTGTCATGTTTCTTCTTCTTTAGGGCCCACCAGGAAAACAAGGATCCACAGGAACACCTGGAGATAAAGGCCCTCCAGGACCAGTTGGTTCTCCTGGGTTAAACGGACCTCGTGGTGATCCTGGTCCTGATGTAAATACGAATGATAATCTTTCTTGTTGTTCTCAAATGACTTCACTTGAGTTTCTCTTTAAAGTGTTTTATGTCTCTTATCTGGTCCTCAGGGCCCTGCAGGGTCTGATGGTCCTCCAGGCAAAGATGGAGTTCTGGGACAGCGGGTAAGAGCAACAAAGATGCTGAAAAGTCACTTAAGATTTGTGTTCTTTCTGGGCGTTTAACAGATGTTTCTTTTGTAGGGAGACCGTGGAGATTTTGGTCCAGAAGGTTTGATTGGTCCTCAGGGACTTCCCGGCCCTCCAGGTCCCGTTGGAGTACCAGGTGATGCTGGAAGGAGAGGAGAGGCTGTGAGTGGACTTTTTTGTTTTCCTGCTTCTGTTTCTCCTGGAATGTCCTGCTCTTTGTGTTTCTGTGAGTCCATCAGCAGGACACAAGGCGGGTAACAGTCTTAAAGCTGTGAACACATGATTTGAGCTCTGAAGGCGTGCTGAGACTTGAATGACTTTATACGAGGTGCTAACAGTGATGGGTTTGGCTTTAAGAAGGAGTTGGACAGTTTTCCAGTGCTGGCTTCCTAATGATTAAACTGCTTTTCCAGGGCTCAAGAGGACCTGTTGGCCCACCTGGCTCAGCTGGAAAGAGAGGACTAGTGGTGAGTCTTTTTAGGATTTTTTTTTTTGCAGTAGATAAAAGTCAACATTACCCCAGAAGAACCAAGTATAAACCTTCAAATTTCCAAAGATGTATCAATGAATGTTTCAAATCTCTCTAACTCAGGGACCTCAAGGACCAAGAGGAGATAAGGGTGACCTTGGAGATCATGGAGAGAGGGGGCAGAAGGGTCATCGTGGCTTCACTGGTCTGCAGGGTCTTCCTGGACCTCCAGTAAGTCCCTGTGGTGCTAAATTTAAATTATGCCAAACCTGTTTTAAATGCTAATGCAAATTAATTCACAGATTTTTTTCAATGCTGTTGACTTCTTTGAACATAGTTTTCTGTAGTTTTCTGTACTCAACCATAATAAGAATGTAAGTAGTGTTTCACCAAAGAGTCTTCTATGAGTGCAGTTTTTTAATTATTTCACAATTTAAAAGACAAACATGAGTCTTCATCGCTGCAGCAATGGCCTAAGCCCTCAAAGAAACTAAAGGCTAATACCAGATGACTGACTTAATGAACAACTTTGGGGAAAAAAATGTATGAAGCTTACATTTTTTGTAATCAAAAGTTGAACCCTCACAATCTGAGATTATCTGATCATCAAGTCTGTGTGGGTGTAGTTTAGTAATTTCAGTCTGACACTGCTGACAACATCACAAATGATTGTACATCTGACATCAGGTTTGGATTTACATATTGTTAAATCTTGATGAGGTCATGAGAGCATGTGTTTCATGGCCAACTGTGTAATTTGTTCCTTTAGTTTTTAAAATTCATTTGAATATACAAAGACTGTATTAAACATGAAATAGTAAAGGAACACAAGCAGTCAAAAGATGTGTTGCATTATGTAATAGTGTCTAATAGATACAAACCTGTTGCTTTTAGGGTACCACAGGTGAGCAGGGAGCTCCAGGAATCGTTGGACCAGGCGGGCCAAGGGTAAATACTACAGTTTCATTTGTTTCTTAAGGTTCTTACGAAAATGTTTTATGAGGAGGAAACATCTTATATACTTAAGTTTATTGTCTGTATTCTAATTTAATGTTTAACTGATATGATTTAGGGGCCTCCTGGACCTATTGGACCTCCTGGAAAAGAAGGATACATTGGTCTGCCCGGACCCATGGGACCTCCTGGAACTCGTGGACTCAGCGGAGAAATTGGACCCGAGGTACTTTCTTAAAATAAAAAGAGGAAGTTCTTATTAGAGTGTTTGAGATGAACTCATAAAAAGAGAACATTATATCAGTCTGAAAATAAAAAAAACAGTGCTTACAGGCAAAAGAAAGTCATTCAGTTGTTGAACATCAATTAAACAGATGTTCAGTAAAACATCAGGGTTAAAAAAAAATAATAATAAGGAAATATTTTATAAAACCTGCTACTTCTTAAACCTCAGGGCCCTCCAGGAGAGTCTGGACCCGCCGGCCCCCCTGGTCCCCCAGGACCCCCCATGGCTGCTATGGATGACCTGTTTGGCGGCCTTCACGATTACGACTCTGGCCCTCCTCCTCCTCCTGAGTTCAGCGAGGACGAGGCTATGCCCAACAGCAACTCCTCCACCATCTTGGCCGTGGACCCCGGCGTGCAGGCCACCCTGAAGGCCCTCAGCAGCCAGATCAACAGCATGAAGAGCCCCGACGGCAGCAAGAAACACCCAGCCAGGACCTGTGACGACCTGAAGAGGTGCTACCCCATGAAGAAGAGCGGTGAGTACGCTTTCTAACCTCATGTTTCTCCTCCTGTCCTCTATTTTATTAATCTCTTACATAAGCTGCTATTTTCCTGTTTATCCTTCCAGTGCTTTAAAATCTGGAAATATTATCCGGGCACAGTTTTGAGCTGTCAACTAGACTTAGTTAGATGCAATAAAACAGAATTAATTTACTGTTGCAGACACAGCAGCTGCAGAATAAATCAAAAAGAGCCATTCATCCAAATGTCTGCGTACAGAACGTTGATTATGTTGTTGTGCAGGTGAGTACTGGGTGGATCCAAACCAAGGCAGTGTGGAGGACGCCATCAAAGTGCACTGCAACATGGACTCCGGAGAGACCTGCATCTCTGCCAACCCGGCCAGCATTCCTCGTAAAGTGTGGTGGAGCGCTTCCAGGAACAAACCTGTGTGGTTCGGAGCTGACATCAACAGTGGAACACATGTGAGCACTCAAGAGTTGTTGTGATGGGGGAGCAAAGGAAGCAGGGCTGTGAAGACGCAGTGACGTTGTTATAGACTTCATAATGTGAAAAAATGTGTTCTTGTTCCTAAAGAAGAATAACTGACAACTGAGTTATACCTGTTTGTACACCTGTACTGTATCTTGTTTGACTGATGATTTTTCTCTCTTTTGTATTGATTGTTTCTTTTTTTGTTTCCCTAGTTCGCTTATGGCAACAAAGAGCAGCCGGCTAACTCGGTCACAGTTCAGATGACTTTCATCCGCCTGCTCTCCAAAGAGGCCTCCCAGACCATCACCTACCACTGCAAGAACTCAGTGGGCTACAAGGACGAGAAGAATGGCAACTACAAGAAAGCTGTGATCCTCAAAGGCTCCAATGACCTGGAGCTCAAAGCAGAGGGAAACAACCGCTTCAGATACACAGTGGTGGAGGACTCCTGCTCGGTAAGTTCCAATATTTACTCAGCTCACATATTTATCTTTAAGGCTGACAGCATTCATCTTTATTTTTATATGTCTCAATACATCTCATGAAGTGACCAAATATAACAATGAGTTAGTGACTCTCTAAAAACCTTCTGACAATTTAATCTTCACCAAAAGTTCCACATATATTTTAATTAAACTTCATTGTTTCAATATGTGGAGTTTTATCTAAATAAGTATACTGTAGGTTGTAGCTGACAAAGCTCTTCATTCCTTTTTTTTTCATTTTAAAGCTCTTGTCAGGAACTTTCAGTTTAAGTCGGTTTTGGCGCCCCCTGTGGACAAAGCTGTGCATTGTATCCCTTGTCCTGTACATTTGTAGGAACAAAAACAGTCTCATCCTGTTTGTTTCATGTGGATCACCTGCTTTGAATCTCTGCAGTGGAAAATGTAGACTAAGGCAGTTATTCACTGTGTCTGACACTTACCCTGCTACAGTGGTTACAGCCATGAAAAGATTACTATAAGAAAATGATCAGTCTTGTTTATGGTCTTGTTTGCTTTTTTAATTCATGAAGAGGCTGTGTTATCACCTTTAAAACTATCCCCTAGGTGTAGGGAGTGGGATTTAGCGGCATCTGGTGGTGAGGTTGCAGAGTGTAACTGATAAAAATTGCTCCCGCACTCTTAGAACAGACTAGGGACTAGAACAGCTGCATTATTACATTTCTGCTACAATTCTACAATTCACTTAGCAGACGCTTTTATCCAAAGCGACGTACATCAGAGAGTAAGTACAACACAAGCAAGGATCTAGAAGGGAACGATGTCAGTAAGAGCAAACAATCAGCTTTGAGTCCGATTGGACACACAGGTGCTGACAGGCATTGCAAAGCACAACATTGACGGCAGTTCTTGAGAGCTCTAATCAGTATAGAAACCATCTTATAAGTCGTCGTTATCAAACAATAGTTATAGTGAATCTGCAGGAAAAAAGTTATAGTTAGTTATAAAATAATAGTTATTATTATATAGTTTCATTTATTGTTCACAGCTTTCAGTGCTGCCACCAAGTGGCTGAAAATTAAATGTTTGCCTTTTTAAAAAGAATTGTAAAACAATGCACATGTTGGGGAATATTTCAGCAACTGGTTCATCCAAATTCTGTACTCTGATTGGTTAAGGCCTGCAGGGTAGCCTAATAACATACATTTAATCTACTCGGCTTTGGATCAACATTCATTATAATATTCAGTCCTGGTTTTGGTCTTTTCATGGGATTTGTTGATGACAAAAAGGAGAAAGGGTCTAGTTCAAATGTAAGAAAACTTGTGTCTGAAATCAGTGGCCATACTTGTTTTATATTTAGTTGCCTTCAGGCAAAGAACATCTTGGAAATTGTGTTTAAAATTTCATTACGAGAACAACGGAAGAGATCAGTTGAGTTCAAATCTAAACTCCTTCTTTGTTTTTCTTTCACAGCAAGCAAATGGCCGGTGGGGCAAGACAGTGTTTGAGTACAGGACACAGAAAACAGCAAGACTTCCTATTGTGGACATTGCCCCCGTGGACATTGGTGGCTCGGATCAAGAGTTCGGCGTCGACATCGGGCCCGTGTGCTTCTTGTAAAACCGTCAGCAGGGACGCATGGAGGAGAATCCTGAGACTATTGAACTAACAAGCTGACGCGATCAGCCACATTGTACATACGAGTACTGAGGACTATTGTGGCCCTGTGGCAAGATATTTATTGTGCCTTCAACCCAGATCAAGACATCGAAGATTTGTAAGTTAGGATGAATGTTTGAAATTGACTTAAAAAGAAATTGGTACAAATCAGAATCATTCCTCTGTCTTCTTGTGTATGTTTGACTTTAAGCATGACGCATTCAATGCTAACCTTTCATAGTTTAATTTAGTCCTGACGATTTGACTATTTCATACCGTAAATTTGCCAAAGATTTAACACTACAGAGGCTTTAAATAGTAACTGCTGTTTATAGGCTGAAAGATCCCACCGAAGCTACGTTAAATGTTGTTCTGCCACTTCTATTTTTTACAAATTTGTCTTTTACTTTATTGTTCTAAATGTTTGAATATAAGACAACATTGTGGTGCTATAGAGGAAACACACAGCCGATGATGCCTTCACTGGCGCAGGTATTTTCCAGAGGCAGTTTTGATGAACCAATGTCTGTATCCAGTTGCTTGGACCTCTGTACCGACAAACGTGGAACATTAAAAGACACATTAAGACTGTCCCTTCCTCAGTGTTAGCTACCTCGTCACCCGGACGGAGAACCGATGACACTACATGTACATCTTTTTTTTCACAGGTGCTGTTTTGTAAGTAGTGTGATCCTTGTGAACTTCTCCCGGCTGCGCGGTACAGGGCAGGGTTTGGGGATACCAATAAAGATCTTTCTGTCGACGACGGAGAGGTGAATGAGGTGTCGTGTGAGTGGTGTGTGGTGATTTGTAACTTGTTTTTTTTTCCTGTAGATTCAATATCGTACAGTTAAAGGTAGCATAGGAGATTGGATTTTTATGCATGTCAGTTGCCCCCTTTTCAGTATCCTGGACGTATATGCTCTTGAACTCCTTTTTTATAACCAGTTTTTTTTTTTTTTATATAGATAAGGTGGCTGTGAGTGCCTGTTTGCTTTGTATTTCTTGCTATGCAACAAATTAAACAAAACGCTTGTTAATCCCCCCAAGCTCCTGTCATATTAATTCAGCTATAGTTAGAATGTTTGTCATTTTGCACATAAACCTTTTTTTTTTTAAAGATATATATTTTGTAGTTTTAAAAAAAAACATTTATGTATTTATGTAGTCTCACAGTTGTTTTGTAATGTAAGCTGGATGTTTTAAATGTGTCTTTAGGTAATTCTTTTGTGACCGTTTGGTCTATTTATTATAGATTTTTAAGTTTTAAGAGGCTTGACTGCCTGCTGACTCCCCCCGAGGCAGAGGAGGAGTGAAAGGAGGAGTGAAAGGAGGAGAAGGAGGAGGAGGAGGAGGAGGAGGAGGAGGAGGAGGAAGGGGCTTTCCACACTGGAAGCAGAAGCATTTCATCCTTTGAAAAATAAATATTGAAAAGCCTTCTCTCTGCCTGTTCTTGTTTCAGACGAGTTCAACTGGTCTTTAAAAACTTTTTACTGTACAAGAATAAAATGTCAGCCTCAAGAGAGTGTGAACTCCTGGGGATAAACCTCCAGAACATTTGCACTATGGAGTTTTGGCAGAGAAATGTGAACGTAGAAGAAGTGTACAGATTCTGTGGTATATGTTCATAACTCTATACTCAAACTGTCCTCAGAGGAAAGTCTGGTCCCTGTCACACTGTGTGAAGAGAAAATGCTAAGCAGGAAGTTATAGTGGGGGGCCGCAACAGTGAAACCGTAACTCTCCTGGTAGCTTTTTAGCTCCAAACAGTGTTCCAGGGACCTGTTTTTTTTCTTTGAATAAAGTTTGTGTCTTCAGTTCAGAAAATATATCAAAGAATTGTTTCACTTCTCCAACTTTAAAATGTCACTATCAAATCTCCATAGTGCACCTTTAAAGGAAAGAAACGTGTGATGAAAATGAAGAAGTAGGCCAGCAGCAGAGTGAACTGCTCCTGAAACTTCAACACTCAAACATGTATCTACATCGCCGCAGCCATGTAAGCACTCCTGTTAGACCTTCAAAGAAACTAAATGCTAATACCAGAATGCTAACACACACATAATGACAAAGCTAACATGCCGATCTTTATTTTGCAATAACTGCCTGGTTTAACCCTTTTTGTTGAATGTGTAAGCCATTAGCTGATAAGACTCAAACATGGCTCTGAAGAGTCAGGGAGACATCTAAATTATTAGCATTCCTCTTATTTGGAAATCATAGTTTGTGACCCAGATCTAACAGAACCACATTAAATTGGTTGTAAGATGTTTCAGACTTTAAAAAATATGTGAGAAGAGAAGTTTTTGAGGAACAAAAGTGTGTGAGCAAAATGTTTCCAGGAGGCAACAGTCATAATCACAAATCTAGGCCATCTGTGAAACAGCTTAGTACAACCCATATATTGACGTTTCTAGTAGTGAGGCGACCTCTTGTGGCAGCAGAAACTGTTGCAAGTTTTTAACACACTGAAGAACTGGAAACAATGAAAAGGGGTTAGCAGTGCCATGTTTTGGACTTTGAAATATTCAAGGTTTGTCCAAGGGGCCTGAAAAGACGGTAAATGGACCAGAGATCGTAAAGTCCTCTGACTTCTTAAAGCACTTTTACAAAGCAGGTCACAACTACACATTCACACACTGATCTATCATCAGCTCTATGAAGTGTCACAGGAGCAACTTGGGGTTAAGTGTCTTGCCTAATGACACATTGGACATGTGGCTGCAGGGATTGAACCCATGACCTTCCAGGTTGAGAGACGACCGACTCTTCCACTGATCCACAGCCGTCCCAGATGGACCAACACTCCTGCTACCAGTACAGCAAGGGCTGATTATAGAACCTTAGGAAGCAGAAATATATTTCCAGTCACACAAATCACAGAGTCATGCAGATGATCATCAATGACGGAGTCGACGAGAAGTGTTTTTTTTTCTGGACATATCAGTTTAATAACTGGAACAACAAAGTGAATGCAACCAAAAGTAGAATAATGGGAATAGTACTGTGTATGGACAGAAGCTGTCCAATCAAAAGTGCCCTCTGGTGCAAGAAAACAAAGGAGGCTAAAATGATGACAATGTACAAAATATGACTACTAAATACTGACAAGGCAACTTAACGTCATGTGATACAAAAATAGAACAAACAACTCGTTGTCAATACCAAAGGTTGTGAGTTAGCTCTAAAAAAGATGAGGCTGGATTAACTACATATTGTGAGAATTAATGTTGATTAAAATAAGATATGTGGTGTTATGGTCAAGCTGTGTTAGTGAAACATATTCCTTTTCTCTTCTTCACCAGCTTTGTGATCGCCATACAAACAGGAATGTTCGAACAATACAGGTTTCAAATGGTGCAGACACACAAACCGTCTCATATGAAAACTCTGTGTACCATTGGACATATTCGACTATTTACATCCCTCATTGCGTGTTCAAGCAAAGGTACTCAAAACTAATCCTTCCATAAGTTTTGTTTCTTTTACAAAAATAGTTCTTTTCTATAATGGATCTGAGTTTTACCTTGAAATATCAGAAAACAGATGTAAATGCAAATGCATATAAACCTCAAGGTGAAAAGTGTGACATCTTGACTCGACCGTGGAGTGGATTTTGGCACTTCTTCATACAAACGAGTTCAAAGTACGCGACAAAGAGCATCTTCTTGGCATCAGCAGCGGCCGTCGAGCGGGTCCAGGGAGAAGACGGTGCCCTCTAAGGTTAGTCCCATTTTGAACCCCTCCTGGAAGACAAAACCAGAGAGGAGCTGTGATAGTCAGTCACACTGACCCGGTTTCTATGAGGTTAAATGAGTCTGTGTGAAGTCAAGATGAGAGCGATGGAAATGCTAAACAAAACAGACGTCACATCGTGGTTATCGGTCAGGCTTGGCCATGCATTATGTGGTCAAGATTATAAACTCCATACAAACAACAAGGCATGCGTCTTAAAGGAAAAAAGAATAGATAAATATTCAGATTAAAGATGAGAATTCAGGCATCCTTATTTTTTCCAAACTGCAAATATCTGTTGAAAACTGGTTTTAACGATCTCTAATAGAGTTTAAAACAAAGTGTATATCAAATGTGACTTGGTCTCTTAAAGAAGAGCATATCTCTTAACAAATATTGCCTGAAGAAAAAATACTTTTAAGGATCAGTGTGTGCTGACTTCCATTTGTATTTCATTATGTGCAGGTTAAAGCACATGTTGAAAACATGCAGAGATTGCTAAAATGCTAACTCGGCATGCAAAAAAATGAACATCTGCAGTCCCTTGGCCGGTCCAATAATAGTCACATTGCACATGACAATACACAGATAGAAATGGACGATGCACAAGCAGAATAACAAAACAAAATGCATTGTGCAAAAATATAAACACAAATTACGAATGGTTTGTCTTCGTGTCCTGAGTGTCAGGTGAGAAGGCTTGAACACAGAACACTGTATCAACTCTCTGATGAGAGAATGTTGAAAGTTGAAAAGGTCGATGTAGAAGCAGGTTTTCATCACAAAGGGTTAGTGAGTTCATGCGGCATTCTCCAAAAACATGCGAGACAAAAACACGGACATGGAACCCAGCATAGAGCAAAGAGTACGAACCATCTCTGACGCTACAGGCAGCAGGGAGAAGACATGAATTCAGATGTTTGTGATTAAGAAAAAGTAGAAATAGAAGCAATAGTTGAAGTGCAGTGCAAAGGGTTGTGTGAAACATCTCCCCTTACAGGCAAAATCCTGCAAATACAGTGCAACATGCAGAAACAGCAGGTTCATCTTTCTTTTAACGCTCCAGAAGTCATTGTTATGTAATCACAGCACGTTCAACCCTTCACAGAGACACACTGAGAAAAGACTGACGACTGTAGACTACAACTGTATCTGTAATGACTGTCTGATAGCATGCCAAGCTACAGCAGTGGCTCCCCAAATAGTTCCATTCTGTAAGTTCATTTTATAAGCAGAACAATGCTGCACAAAGACTCACAACACTCTCAAAGAAAGGCAAGATCCAGCACCTGATGAAGAGCTGGTCAGGCTGCAGAAGGTTGTGCTCATTAATGCATATAGAAAATAAATAAATATATCTTTCGGGTCTGCGTGCTAGTCATTTTATGACTCAGCTCCTGAATAAGTGATGTGTGTGTGTGTGTGTGTGTGTGTGCTGACCTTATTCTAACTAGAAACAACATAAACCAGTGAAGTCCTTCTCAAACATCAGACAAATTGGTAATCAGTGAAATATATGAATTATTAGTGGCATAATGCATCATTAGTGAGCTTCTACATCTTATTTTTCATTCCCTTTCCTTTCTAAGAGGGAGGGGGGGGTCAAACTGTGCATCAGTCTGATGAAAACAGACATGACAAAAACATGATGTGTCTTAAAAAGAAATGTCATGATGGTGTTTTACTGTGTCACTCAGACACCTTGCAGATGTGTCTTTGCACTAACTCTGATCTGGTGGTGGTGGTGGGGGGGCAACAGAGGCAGCATTTAAATCTCTCTGGCAAATTAAAAAGTAACTTTTGAAGGGGAGCAACAGCAGTTGAATTGAACAGCTGCTGATTAAACTACTTGTTTGTTTCTTCAAGTGTAACTCTGTGTCAGTTGGATTTACATTTAGTAAACTGGAGCTCTGGCTCTGAACTGCTTCCTGTAGTTTTATTCACTTCTCCATAAGGTTCGTCGAGCACATTCAGCCCACACTGCTGAAAATACAGAGAGTGAACTCACTGTATTTTTCTTGACTTCAACCATGGCTGTCACATTAAGTTGATCATTATCAGGTTGAAATATCTGACTGTCTTCTACAGTATATGTTGTTTTGTGTCAAATGGTGACCTGGCCCCTAGTTTAATAACCAGAGTATCAACGATGATATTTTGTCTCCTCTGAAGAAAACACAACAGATAATACAGACTGACTTTTAATGATCTGTTAATTCTGCATGGAGTGATAAGCCCTAATCAAAAAATTATTCTAAACAAACAAAAAATAATCCTCTCTTCATTTGTTGCTCCATCAGACCACAGGT